AGAAAGGACAGAAGTCTTTCGTGGATGGCCTTCCGTTTTCCGAAATCGAGGATAAGATGGCGCATCAGATCTCTCACTACGTCATGCGCACTAGGGAGGAAGTTCTGGTTCACAACGTTTTGGAGGATGAGCGTTTCTCGAACGTCAATGAGGGCTACCAAGCCAGGTATCCCCTTGGGCGGTCCGTGATCGCATTGCCTATTATGCAGGCCGAACATCTGCTCGGTGTCATTCATATTGAAGGCAAACCGAATTCATTCACCCAGCGGAATGTTGTGGTTCTCCACTTGCTTTGCAACCAAATTGGTATCTCACTTTCCAATGCGTTGCTCTTCCGCGAAGTGCGCAAGGTCAGCGCTACCAACGCTTCTATGGTGGAGGCTCAAAAGCGCGCACTTGCCCAGGCTCGCGAGGCGGAGCAGAAGGCTAAAGTGGCCGAGGCTGAAGCAAAGCATAACGTGAAGCTGAAAGAAGATGCAGCAAAGGCCAAGTCCATCTTCTTGGCTAACATATCTCACGATCTGCGCACACCGATGAATGGCGTTATTGGTTTGTCGGAACTCCTCAAGGGTACCAAGTTGGACAGAGAGCAGGACGAATATGTAGAATCGATCCGTGTCTGCGCTGACACGCTGCTCACACTCATCAACGATATCCTTGACTTCTCCAAGTTGGAGGCAGGCAAGATGAAGATCTCTACCGTACCCCTCAACATTCGGGAAACAATCTCGGAGGTGGTTCGCGCCCTTCGCTATACGCATCGTGATCGTGGGTTAGAGACGATCGAGGATCTGGACAAAGTTCCACCAGAACTTGTGGTCCTCGGAGACCCTGTTCGCTTGCATCAGATCTTCATGAATCTTCTCAGTAACAGTTACAAGTTCACTCCCAAGGGATCCGTAACTGTGAGAGCCAAAGTTTCCAGGGAAGGCAAGGGTCGTGTCCGTTTAGAGTGCTCTGTATCCGATACGGGTATTGGAATCTCAGAAGAACAAAAATCCCGGCTGTTCCGGCCATTTTCGCAAGCCGATAACTCCACGGCGCGGTCATATGGCGGTAGTGGGCTTGGATTGAGTATCTGCAAGGCAATTATTGAGGACGTCCTTGGCGGTGCTATATGGCTGGATTCGACCTCAGGCGTTGGAACTACGGTGACGTTCCATCTGGCATTCAACAAGGTGAAAGACGCTGCCGCTAAAGCTGCCAAAAACAAGGCTGCCAATCAGGTGGAGAACAAAGCTCCGGTTCCTACTGCTCGAGACTTGACCATGGTGCCCCGGGATCAAATTCGAGTCTGTATCGCTGAAGACAATCCTATTAACCAGAAGATTGCGGTCAAATTCGTCAAGGGGCTCAATCTTCAGTGCGAAGCGTACAGTGATGGGCGACAGGCAGTTGAAGCTCTCCGAACAAGATCTCGTGAAGGCAATCCGTTCCATGTGGTGCTGATGGATGTACAAATGCCGACTCTCGACGGCTACAATGCCACTCGCGAGATCCGAAAAGACCCAGATCCCAATGTCAACGAAGTGTTGGTCATAGCCATGACGGCGAGTGCCATCGAAGGAGATCGCGAGAAGTGCCTTGGTGCCGGAATGAACAACTACCTTCCCAAGCCGGTTCGATCTACTATCTTGAGTGAGATGCTTGACCAATACCTTGCACCAGTGCCAGCATACACAAGGACGCGGCTGGTGAACCGGGAACGAGGAAGTGTAAGCACTGAGGCAGGGACACCACGGAGCCACTCCATGTCGCCTAATATTGACGGCCAAGCCACCGCTCTGACGCCTGAAGAAGATAAGCAACTGCAAGAGCGGCAACCCATACAAAATTAGCGTCGTGGTGACTCCTTCTAACCTCTACCATGGCAAGCTTTTGCCATTCCTCTGAGTCAGCACTGATTTTAGACGATTGCTTCCGTCAGTGACTCACCTGTGATACCCTGCATATTCTGAGCGATTCTCTATCGATGTTGCTGCGCTGCTCATTCTAGATTGTACTTTGCGAGTTATACCTTGGAAAAGCATACGGGCTGAGCATCGTTCCGTGTCTTGCTGGTTCACGTCCTTTCAGTTCTAAGCGATGATGATGAAGCATATGATTGATGATACCAGCAGTGGAGGCTCCATTCCCGGTCTCTTGCATTTTGGTTACCCTCGTCTGTCCGATGTACTCGTGCTTCATGCTTTTCTTTTGTTCTTCACTCTTTCTGTTCTGCAGATCGACGCAGTACCAGGTTTATCGACGACAATGATGTTTATCATGCGTGTGTTGATTATAGTGATGTCTCCTTCGGCGTTGTTTCTGTCTATCATATATATCTCTGGCTCGCGTGCACTTTGCTATCTGTATGTCTTGGTGATACCGTGATTTTTTTCCATCTCCTTTCAGTTGAGTCTACGAGGGGATGAAGAATACCAGGGTCTGGCGTTTTGGATGATTTAGAGATTTATATCATGGTGCAAGAACTGCAGTTTTCAAAATTAATTTAGCATGATGTTCATTCTTGGTGATCCTAGTAACTAAGTAGTACCCATTTTACATCTCACATTATATCTAAGCAGCAACAGCCTTACGCTTTCCAAACACCCTGAACCGCTTAACACCTCCATCCGGCACCAACGTCAACTTAGCATGCGTAAACGCCCTCGTATCCTCCCCACCAGCCGCCAAATCCTGACCCTCAAAGACATGTTCCGTATCCGCCCGACAAGGCCTATCGCCTTTCACCAACTCGACCCAACCGGGATGATCATGCTTCGGCTCCTCCCCATCCTTAACACTCCCCTCCACCAGCCCATGCACGCGCACTTCCCTAGGGAAATTACCCCTAAAATCCTTCGTATCCACCACCACCCGACTCACACTCCCCACCAAACCCAACTTCACAATGGCCCAATCAACATGACCCTTCGCCCTCGACCTCGCCGTCTCCCACCCATCCCCCATATCCTTGCCCCTACCCGGCAACAACAAATTCGAACACGGAGTGAAATGCTGATCCGACGCCGCGAGCGCCACACCCCCAACCAACGCAGAACTCAATTCCTCTTCTACATCCCCACCACCAGCAACCTTAACATCCCCCGGAATGGCCTTCCCATACACCCTCAACCGCCCAAACCCACCATCGGGGTACATCAACAACCGCACATGAGTGAACGCCTTGCCATGCACCTCGGGGTCCAGCTTCCACGCGCGCCGCTGCGACGGCCCGCATTCCACAGGCGGGAGGATCGTCGTCCAGTTCGCGTACTTCTCGTCTGCGACTTCAGAATCCGGCGTGTTGGGCGCGTAGGTTGCTTGCAGAGAGGCCTTCTCGCCGTAGTTGCCGACGAAGTACCCCGTGTTGACTTCTACGCCGTAGATGTGCGCGCTGGACACGCCCAGCTTGATCACGGCCCAGTCGTAGGGGGCCGGGTTGTGACGGCGGGTTTCCCATCCGTCGTACCAGGCTCCGGTGTGGACGAAGACGCCTGGGCGGTTGATGGGTGGTGTGGGGGTTAGGAGGTTGGAGGCGGCGGCGAAGTATTCGTTGGAGCAGGAAAGGATGGTGCTGTTCAGGGCGGAGGAGGCGAGGTTGGTGGTGTGCGCGAAGGTGGAGTCGATTTGGTCGGCGGGGATGTAATCTTGAGAGGACATGATGGGTGGACTTATTTGTGAGTGGACTGATTATATGATGGTTTGATATTTGTAAAAGAGGAGTGGGTTTCTGAGGAAAGAAAGAGAGAGGTGTAGGGAAGGGGGGGAATATATGAGGTTTAAGTAGAAATCAAGTATGTGAGTTGATAAGAGTTTCTGCCCCGCCGATTACTCGATCTTATCGCTTCATCCGCAATTTCCCCCCTCATTTTTTCTTCTATGTACTCTTTCTGCTATCACCCTGATAATATTCTACTTCATTTACTTACTCCCTTCTCCCTTCTTCCTTCCCATTCCTCCTCTAACTACCCTATCTACCAATATCATCATTATCCTCAACCCAACCCAACTCAATCCAATTCACACATCCACCACCACATCTACACACTCTCTCTATCTACCTTGCTAGTAAGTAGCATCCGGTTCCCCCCAATTCCACCCCACCAGAACCAAAGTAAACCAAAACTCCACATCCTCCGGGTCGGAGCTCTCCGACACCCCTCGTCGCCCTCTTCCGACTACCACATCACCTTATAATCCCCAAGTTTTTATGTAACAGCCGAGGGCATTACAATTCAATTCGTTCATTATCATCCATTACTCTAGTTAGTTCACTCAACACCTAGTTAGACACCCGGATAGTCCTCGTCTCTTCTACAGTCTCGCTACGCATGACTCACACCTCTCTACACCATGCACACACGCACACGCACACACACCCGATCGGACAAGAATGAGACAAGCACAGAGCTACACATACACAATAACCCAACTAGGGCATAAGTAAGTTAACTGGGGAAATCGATCTACCGGAGCCGACTCGCTCGGCTCTCGGACACCCATGCTCGCAGTCGCACTCGCATGTGCAATGGGAGTCAACGGAACAATAGGAAGCATGCAATAATTAAAGTTGATTCTCTTTTGTTGCTGTCGCGTGCCCAATGTACTACCGTGAGTAGGTGACCATTGTACTCCCCTCCCCCTCCCCTCCTCTTCTCTTTGGTTCCCCTGGGACCGACCGACCGCCCGCCATGGCTTGGTGTCCCGTACGAGTGGGTGTGCTGGACGGGGAACGGCGCGTTACCGTTGCAATGGGGCTGGTTTTGATCGAATTGAGTTGGGTTACATGCTTGACGTCGAGGGGGAGGGACGTGGTGCTAACTTGGTAGTTCGGTGCTACTGCGGCTAGTCGAGATGGCGTGCATGGAGTGCCGTGAACGTGTTCGCTTCGAGGTCTGCGTACGTACAGGGCTGGTCAAGCGAATGTTGGGTACTATGTGGCCCGACAGGAGAAGATACAGAACAACAACGAAATAGACAGACAGACCGAGAGAGAGGGAGAGAGGATATAACGTTTAGATGCAAGTATCCAGCAGGCTAAAAGGAAATCAAGGACATGGATAAGAACAAGAAACAGAACAAAAATCAGGATTCACGGGCCATTTAAACACCCACAGCCGGTTGTCTCGAATCAACAACCAAAAACTTCGTGAATCGCTACATCTAACGAAACGCCCCAAGATGCCGCTCTTCCAAATAACTCTCATGTTGATGCTGCTATCGTCCTTGGCTACTACCTCGTGCCCTGCGTGGCGAGGTCCTCCAATCGTTTGTATCGCCATTGAAACTGCGCCAGCTGGTTCCTCTCGGCCGGTGTCATGTTACCGCCGTTCTTTTCCTCCCTCGAGTGCTGGTGCATCTCCCAGAGCCTCAACAATCGCGCTTGATGTTCCGAGATAGAGACGAGATTGGGATCTCGCGACGCCATGCGCTCTTCGGCCGTCGCATGGTAGGAGAGCTTGGCGCGGAAGAGCGCCATATCGATCTCGTCGTACCTGACTCCACGCCCTTCGGGGATCCCAGCTTGCTGAGCGGCTTTCTGCGGCATGGCTGTGCTGAAATCTCTTCGCAGAGGTAATAACGAGTGTGTTGGTAAAGATTATCGCAGACTCAAAGCCAGCAAAGGCGAGTGGTGCGTCTTTAGGAGTCCGCGTGGATGTCCAATGGAAACTATAACAGAATGATACTATAAGCTTTCTCGTGAAAATATAAGCAAGACAGCTATAGGGTAGAATCTCAGAGCGGTTCCCTACTGGAGGCCGTGGCGCGCTGACCTTTATAGCTTGGTTTTTCGCCCTCCGTTGCAGCTTTTCTAGGGTATCCAGTGACAGCCATCAAGGTGATACCAACGATGCCATCATATGCACCTGTTGCCAATGACGCTGCGAAACAGAGAACAGTGACCGATCACCAAATGTCGCTATAAAAATTCTCACCGTATGTGCTGTCTTTTCCATCTGCTTCCGGCCCGTTTGTGTCGGCTACCTCGTGATGATCGCGGCAAGCCAATCCCCTGGCGAACGAGGGCTTCGTTCGTTCCTTTTTTGGGATGGATTGTGGAACCCTCTGGATGACACTGGCGCAACCACTGTCGGTCTGGAGAGTGGGATGCCCGAGCCTTGCAGAACTTTCTTCCCTTTCTAATTTTGTCTGGGTACTCTGTTGGTTCCAGCAGAGGTCGGTGAGTATCGAGGTACCAGACGCAGTCCAGGCCGCACTGACAACGGCAATTCTTAGACCCTGTTTCTGGTATGGTGCTTGCATATGTAGTGACATGCAAACACACATGAACACTACTGACAGTTGACCGTGCCGCGACCGCACCCGAGGCCATGCGTCCCGTTTTGTTACACCCAAGCAAGCACATCAAAGGCTGCCGAAGAGGGAGAAGATGCTCGCCCCTGAGAGGCGAAACCCTAAGCAACCGGCACTTCCACAAATAGGTGATCAAAATGCACCCATCCATTATGACCCCATCTACCCCTTTGCCACGAAAGAGATTTTGAACGTTGCCAAGGGACTGCGCCGCTGTCGCCAACGGAATCGCAGAATTTTACCTGGGATACCCGCGTCTTGGAAGGCAACTCCTTCGTCGCCTCTAGGGACTGTCTGACATCTTGTTTCCCCTAATAATCCCCGATTCGTGGCTTCTTCCGAGGGTATGCAAGTAGCCGCTGGGTGTGTTGTTTGTGTGACGCTCCGTGGGAATGACGGGCTTCAGAATCTGAGCGCAAACGCAAGGGTACATGATCGGTGCAGAGATGAAGTATCACCAATTTATTTTCCTTTTAAGTAAAAGCAGGGAGTGCGGACTTTAGCTGTATTGGGTCCGCTTGTCGAAAAAAAGGCGGCTAACGCTACTCGAATATCCCGACGCCGTTGGCCCCGATGGACCTGAGACCGGCTTCCCTTTCCCTGCACCCAGATGCATGGTTCATGCCCCCATCCGTGCCTGTTGATCATGCGGATCGGTGCTGCCAACGGGCTCCTTGCCGGCATAGTACAATAACATCTGGAAGTATATGAGGGCTAAAAACCAGGGAGCTTGCGATGCTTGGCCCTGTTGGCAATCATGTACAATTTTTGTTGCTCAATCAATGACGTGCGGATGATCCTGGATGCTTGCCCAGATCGGACTGTCCAGACTGAACCCATGAACGTGATGCACATAAGCATGAATGTGGCATGTGACTTTGTGAATGTGGCATATATGATGGTAGCCTGGGTTCAAGTTAGAGAAACGGTAGAGGCTCTGAAAGTGCTTGTTGAATACACAAGGTGAGGCCAGATCTGTGGTGTTACTGAAGAAGCTATGCCCAAATAAGAACTTTAAGTCGAAACTATCCCGTCAATCGGCGCTTGGATGGTGGTTTTGCTCCTCGAATTGTCTGACACCGGCTTCTGTAAAAGATCTGCACCGTGTTAATTAGCCTTTTGTTGTAGTCGGAAGCCTAGGCCTTTTCTCTGACTTTACTTCTGACCGTGCCGAGCAGTATGCGATTCACGTCTTTGGGATCATACGACCATGGCTGTTCATCGCAAATGATGATCAAGTAAGCCTGGACAGGCCTTGTGCCGTCGTGAAGGGAGAGTAGCAGCATCCGCGCCATACAGCCTATGCGTTGTGGCGCCCAATACTGCCAAGAGCGTCGTATTGGCGAAAGTAAAGAGGAGGTGGCCAGCAACACTGCGACACCGGTCTGGTCGCCTGCTCAACAAATGGCCGGGATGTGCTTGTAGTAGAACAGAACAAAACTGCTGGCAAGCCATGAGTTGGCTGATTTCTGTCTCCAAAAGCGGTAAAAAAAACTACCTTCATGACTGTAAGGGAGACAGCATGCACTGCCGTGTCGCCGACAGCTACTGATCCGAAGGTATTGCATAGAACCCCCCACGCCCCAATATATCCGATACAATCACCGTAACCAGTGATCGTCAACAAGAAGTTGCCTTATCGGGGCTTCTGTTGCGTGCATTTGCAAGACCTTATAATCTTGCATATCTAGAGGACACTATAAAGCTGGAATGATTAGGCCTCGGGACCAAATGTCGTGGTCGGAGTATGAAAGAAGGTTGACGAGAACTGTAGGTAGCTCATTCCGGGAACAGAATACAATCCTTAGCTATCATTGTACAGAGTCGGTTCTAGCTTCCCGTGTCTGACATTGTAGTGAGGCGATTCGGGCGGCAGACCATATATCGAGTGTGACACAAATGAGAGTTGGAGCATGGCTTCCAGAATATAGAAGTAGAACCTGCTGGAAACTCTAAATGCCTGGCGAATTTCAAATATTGAAGCCACGAATGCCGTCATACGGACACTGCAGGCCACTTTCCGCTGCGATTGAACTGACCTATGCAAGGCCGATTGCATGGCATCGAGGAAGTGTAAGAACGAATGCCTTCATACCTACTATCAATCAGAACTCACCAAATTGACACTTTAAGGTACTTATGATCACGACTGCCATCCAAGCCCAATTCTCCAAGCGGTTGACAGCCAGTAGGGCCGCGAAAGTAGACACATTGGCTATCCGATGTGTCGACTGCTGTTCACTGCAAATCTCAAGTTCTTGATGCATGAGCATCATGACTACCAACCAATAACTGCCCGACCGTCACTGCAGCTGGCTTGTTGCACCTTTGGGCTACAGGCGACAGGCAATGAAACATGCGAAGACCAGTCCATGTGCAAAGAGAGCGGCCATTCCTGAAACATGGTGTCCTAGTCTTGCTTCTGTTTCTGAGGACATTATCGACGTGGCCTCCCTAGTAGTTTACATCTTGACCCAGTCGAACGCACGACACAGCAAGACTTGCCATGGAAGGAATCGCCTCCCAGTATGAGACCAGAGCATTAAGGGACATGTCAGGGTCTCACAATGATGCAGATGTCGGATTAAATCATTGACAATGGCTTTTCTGCGTTACACAGCTATCCATTCCCGCCAGGTGTAGTGGTGGCCCAAGCTGCTGCCTTGTACCACGCACATGTTGAGATTCTCACCAGAGGAGCCCGCTCCTTACAGAGCTACTTCTGCCTTGGGGTAATTGGAATGCTGCCTTCGGATATAAGGCCTCGGACGAAGTGTTGGCCTGTAATATCCAGAGGGTTAACGATGTGGCGACTGGTTTCGACCTAGGTCTCGAACAGAAAAGCAATCAATAGCTGATCTGCAAGTCCTGTTTCAGTCAACGCAAGGTCTCTGGCCAGGCGAAGTATCACCACCAGAGACTGACAGTGACTCAACTGAAAAGATATTGCTGAGTTTTTCCTGCAAATTATAGGCTGTCAGTTTTCTTATGATTTCTAACGAGCCTTAGGCTAACAGTCCTATGTTGATAATGGTGGCGAGTCGGAGAGCCGAAGAGAAGTGAAGCTCGTAGGATTGTGGAGGAAGTTTCTGAGGATGAATCAAGAATGGAAGGAGCTACGACGGGCACATGATCGGTATTCGAATGTTCATTAAAGCCTTACCATTGATCCGGCTTACAAATATTCTCTATTCTTGACCTCGGACATAAGCTTTCAAGGACTGAGGTCTATGAATCAGCAGAAACGGGAAATGAAGCAAAATGGACTTTTCCATATTCACGTATGATGAAGCCATAAAAGTTTAGGACACTTGCTCATGGAACCTGCGTATCACCGCTGGAATGGTTACGCTGATGAGAAGAAAACTATACGATACAAGATGTTGGCCTTTCTAATTCCGCACTGCAATGTTCAACTTCGACCAGTGCCAATAACTGATCAAATGGCTCCGAGCTAGCTTGGGTTTCTTGACGATCGTATACTCCATCTGTGGCAAAGCTGGTTTACTAGTCGCCATTACAGCCAGTCATCTGAGCGAATATTCACTTGGAGCTTAGCTCTTATCAACAGGTTGGATCGTGGAGACAATGCCGAGGCCAGCTGTTCATTATAGCGATTGTTGATGGTCCCAAAATAGAAGATCTGTCTAAAGCCACTCAGGAGCGATAGAAGATTATCACAGAAGATGTCTCGCTGTATGTTTGCACAACCAGGCCGTATTGAAGCCAACTGGGTCTAATACGTTAGTTGATTGTGTTGCCGCTAGAGAGATTAGTCTGATTAATTTGCCAGGGTTCATCTGTCAGAAGGGATAGGATCGGTCAACTTAGGTTTTGTAAGAGAAATTGAAGCCCTAATTACCTAGGATATTGGTGATATTTTTGTTATACCTAGTATAGCAGCATTATACTCTGAATAATCATAGCTGATGGCACGCCTCTCACTTTGTAGGACTTGATCAAGCACACGGTTGATGACCGAAAGCGCCACAGAGAAATCGTCATTTGATTCTGTTCGAGTAGGGTCAATGTTGGCAGTCAGCCTGATCGAAATGAAACAGGAGTGTTGGTATAGCATCATGCTGCTTGGGTGCGACAGAAAGTACATGTTCAGTCTTATCTTGTGTGAGGCCTTCATGCGTCCACCCCGCATACATGCCTATTTTGGTAAAGGGTGAACTACTAGTTGCTAGTCTCCAGCTGAACATAGATAAGCGCTTGTCCCTCTCCAATATCCTGAAAATCATACCACCTTACGAGCAGTCCCAAGCTTAGTCTGCCTTTTACTCAATGCACCTCACTCATCTTCCCAATGAGACTATCCTCACCATTGTCTCCTTCCTTCGCCGTCAACGGGACATTTACGCACTTGTGAGAACGAACCGTCGTTTCTACTGCCTCCTTAGAGATGTTCTCTATGACTACAACAGTCGCTACTTTCATGCTTCAGCTCTAAAGTCTGTTGCAGAAAGCGGTGACCTATACCTAGCTGGCAGGCTCCTCGACGGACTCAAAGCCGCTGTGGGCAAACCTCGTCGTCAGGCACCCTCCGAACGTGATTGGGAATGGCTCTTCAGGGAAGGAAGAATTGACCCTAACCATGAATATGATTGCGATTTCATCGATCCAGAGGATTCAGTGGATAGTGGCGATGAGAATATGATCCATTTGTTCAGCTGGGCTGATATTGCACGCCATCCACTACGCGCAGCGAGGTACAGTACCAAAGACATTCTCATGGTCCAGAACGCACTTCTTGCAAGTATTCGAGCCGGACAAAAGGATATGGTGGTTCTACTTCTGGACCGTGGTGCACAGCCGAACTTTTATCGCGGTCCTCGTCGAATTGCTAAATACATCTCTGGCTGGCACATGTTACCGGAAATCCCTCCACCACCTGTTCCACCGCTTTTCCTGGCCGTCCAGTGCGGCAATGAAAAGCTCGTGGAGATCTTGTTGGACCGAGGGGCAGAGCCAGATCGATATCATCCATCGCCATTATATCGGGCTGTTGCAGATGGGAGACAAGACATCGTGCTTATGCTGATGCAGGGAGGAGCGACGGATTGTGACAGCTCCATGAAACTGGCTGCGCAGCGGGGAGATCGATCAATGATGGAGTTCCTGCTGAGGCATGGTGCCCGGGCTGATCTATGTGGCGCTGCCGCGTATCAAGTAGCGCTAAGCAAAGGTCATAGATATATAGCCAGTTTGTTAAATTCAAGGGGCGCTCCTGTTTACTATCCGTGGGAGTTGAGGGTTGAATCGGATAAAGTAGAGGGGGATGGGACTAAGCCTGAGCTGAAGTTATATCATTCTAGCTTCGCACGGGATCTGCCTGAGTGGTTCATGGCGGATTGAGACTGATGAGGCTCGCTGACACCTCGAGCATATGTCTAGTGAAAATATCATTCTCTACATTCTAGAAAGGGGCCATTCGATGAATACTGTTAGTGACTGAAATTGATTAGTGGACCGTAGAACTGTGAGTCCTTTCGCACAGCTATGGTATATCCATCTCCATTCGAATATTATGTCTCACATTAACGACCTACAGAGATAACGACACGCAATCTCCGGCCTTAACCGCACATAGAAAGCAGAAGAGGGCATATACTAAGACAGGAATACTGCCAGAGGAGAGATGTCATTGCCGTTTATACCTCCGCTTACTCAGACGATTACAGACCATGGTTGCCATCCTACCCACATCTACAACATCAATACAGTTTCCGCCATCTCCGAAAACTCGTTTCCCCATGGTCCCGACTCTTTATTCTCCACTCTCGGCAGCTTCATCCCCCAAAGAGTCCGAAATACTGCTGAATCAGCGGGATCTTTGAAGATCCACAATAATTAGTATGTTCAAACAGCGCGCCGATCAGTTTAGAGCCCCCTGGATCCTCCAATAATCTTGACCCTTTTATTTGTGCAGCCTAGCCATGAGACTTGTTCCACATTACTTGTTCTCACCACCAGTCCTGATTTGCAATATCGATTTACGATAATTGTGTAATGTCTCAAGCCAAGACTTCTGCTTCCCGACGGAAGAAGAGCCAAGACAGGTGGCTTTCAATGCAGCTTTGACATTCGGTGAAGATGAGAGACTGCCCTGGTGATCTATACCTTCCAGGTATATAGATGCCAAGGTAATTGCGACATCTTGCCCCGTTTATATGGCCAAGAAGTCGGTACCAAACGGAGCGTCCAGTGAAGTTTGGCAAATTGCCAAGCAAGTGTGCTCTATGTGATGGCTACTACGGTCCACATTTCGATAGCGAGGAGCGCTGACGAGAGCAATGAGAGGAATTCAAATCGTCATGTGCTCGCATTGACTCTGCGAAGCGAGTCAAGAGGCGTCTATATAAAGCCACCCATTCCTCCTCTTTTTCGGTCAACAACATCGCCCAGACCAGCAACACCTCTCCACTAGAATCATTTCTTAAGATGCACTTCTCCAAGCTCATTTTTACTCTCCTCGTGGCGGGCACAGCAGTTGCCCATCCTGGCCCACACGACATCCTTCCCCGTGCAGAGATTCAGCGGCGCAGTGAAATGGCCAAGCGATGCGCCAGCCATATTGGAAGCTTTAATCAGCGCCGCATGGCTAAGCGAGCAATGCAGAAGCGTTGGGAGGGATCCGGCCACAATACTACGTTCGAGATAGTCACCGAGGCTCCCTACTACGAGACTATCCAGAACAACACTTGCGTGCTCACACCAGAGGTCACCCGCGGTCCCTATGTCTGGCCTCGCTCCCAGACCCTTCGTCAAGACATGGCCGAAGACCAGCCAGGTGTGCCCCTCTGGCTCGACATAGGAGTTCTGGACATGGCCACATGTGATCCGTTGCCTAACGCCCTCCTCGACTTGTGGCACTGCAACGCAACGGGCTCCTACTCCTCATTCACGGGTCTCTCCCCCAACACCCCCTTCGCAACACTCCTCTCTGAGTTCAATGTTACCGATTATGACATGGGTGTCACGGACCTGCACACGGACGATACCACCTGGCTGCGTGGTATGTGGCCGACGAACGAGGACGGCGTTATGGAGATGAAGACTATATTCCCAGGTAAGTCATTCTCACTGCCAATATAGGTACATGTACTTATTTATATGTAATATAGGCTTCTACGTTGAACGTGCCATCCACATCCACGCCCAAGTCCATACCGACTGGACTGTTCGTGAAAATGGTACCATCATCGCCAGTAACGCCGTCAGCACTGGCCAGCTGTACTTTGAGGAGGAGCTTGAACAGAAGATTATGAGTATGGAGCCTTATGCGTCTCATACGCAGATCAACCGGACCACGAATGCTGAAGACACGGTATTCCCTGAGGATCTTGAGGGTGGATATAACCCGGTTGTGTCTGTTGTTCCTGTGGATGAGGACGATCTGCCCAAGGGTTTGATCGGATATATCACTATTGGTGTGGACACGACGGCAATTGAGACGTTCAGTAAATAGACCGATGTGAGCTTCGTGTATAGATCGATAGGATCAGCCTAGATATTCTCAGATAGATATAGACGGGGCCTTTACGACTACTTGGTCTCGGAATGATGAAAGAAGCTACAAGATAGAATAAAAGACACAACCTAGCTAGAAAGGCAGAAAAAACCGAGAATAGCATGACACCGAGTCCTTAGAGAGAGTTTCGCTGCTCAATCATACCATACAATACAGACCATACCACCCAATACCCTCCCCCCCACTATATCACAAATCAGTAGTCCAAACACAAACTTCACCTGAAATCCAACTAAAGCTTAGGCCGATCAACTCCTCACCCACCTCACCTGCATCCATTCGCTTTCCTACAAGGACTCGCTACCCTACCCAATCAGGGAAAGACATATACTGTCCAGGATGTATTCCAGTCCCAGGGCATTATTAAGGTTCCAATCCACCACCCCCTCATTAGACAGACAAAATCTCACGGCTGCACGGATGCACGTCTCCGCCACCCAATTGGTTAGCATGACCCCATCATAGCCGCACTCGAAGCGATGAAGCAGCTGGATCTGTCGTTAGCTTGATACTTTAGTAGTAGGTCGAACTTCACCTCACAAGCACAGACATACGATGGCCCAGCCAAATTGCGGCGGTTAGGAATCAAGAAAGCCTCCATTTTCCCTTTGACTAATTCCACAAAAAAAATAATAATCTATAATCAGCTGGCCTCTCCGTAGCCTACTAACTCAATCTGGAAACTGCGCAGCCTCAAACCTCATACAAGAAGAAAATGATAATATACCCTGATTTTCTCGCCTACAACATCCCAGCAAACTCATATCGTACGATATTGATTGGCTCGGCGGCGAGGGGAACTTGGTTCCGGTCACACGAACCCGAAAAAACTCAATAGACCTTGGGACTCCTTGTATTTATCCAATCCGTCCGTCTTACAATGTCTGCACTAGAAAACTCCACCGGGCTGACGGGCTGGCAACGCGCCATCGGCATGCTCCCCAGATACTATAGACCCGCTCATCACAGGGGTAGCATCTAGAGCTGCGGTATCATTCCGGGAAGTTTGAGCAAGATGTCAGCTCAGCCTCCATTAACAAGGCAAGTCTGCCTTAGTTGGTCCTTTTGCCATTACGTTAACTGAATATACGTTCACTGATTGGCCAAGTCCTACCCTGCATATGCATAAGCTTTTAGTACAAATGTACCCCCCAAGTTGCTCTATCAGCGTGCCGGGGCGGCTAGATAGCCATTCTCACATCACACAAAACATAGTAGGCACTGCAGTTGTCTTGGAGTGGGTATGCGGTATTTGATTCGTGGGGTTAGGTTTTCCTTATTGAGATAATCCTTTTGTCAACTATTGTTGACTGCGTCAGGCAGTACTTTTTTTGGTACTTTTTAAGGTTTCCGGCCCAACTGCTGACTTTCGTCCCGTCCACCAAATACTAGATTTGGACGGGCTACGCATTAGCCAGCCCGTTGCTGAATGGGGTTTTGTGTGGGGTGTAAGCATTCATCGTAAACTTTCTTCTTTTGAATTTTTGTAGTACAAACTCGATTCCATCTATCTACTTACTACATGTATTTATCAAGTAGTGTAGTGCTAGACTTAACATCAAATTTCCATAGTCCGGCAGCCTACTACTAGTACACTGAAGAAGAATATCGCAAGGACTGTCTATCATCTCCCCATCATGCCTAAATTATACAGTTGAATGGGGCTGCTAGCACCTACCTGAGTTATTTGTCACCGGCGGATGGTCCCCCTCGTGTCATTGTAAGCTAAGTGGATACTACTGTAGCTTGTATATGGCTTAGCGTGTGTCTTTATTTTCAACCCAAGGGCCCGTCCAATCAATCAAAGAAGAGGGTCTGTGAGTCTGCAGGGTATCAGATCCTGTGAAAATCAGTGCCAAGATGAAGGGTCGAAAACATGTCTTCGAACTTATTTTGATCCTCAAGAAGGCGGGTTCGGGTTTGGATGAGGTGGTGGTCGGAGACCACGCGGGAAGAAGAGAAGGCCAAGGCTGGCTGGTGTGATTGTGCCAACGATTAGTACTACCCAATTACTACCTTGTTGTTTTTGAAACAGTCAGGAGTCAGGAATGGAGACAGACGACTGGTTGCCTACAGATGGTCGCTTAAGGCTACTACTTTCTGGTTGGTGTAGCTTGTGGGACATCTTCCAGGAGTCTACGTAGTATGCAGCTGCAGGGTTGACGGTCCTGACGTGTCCAGTATCTTTCTCATGGCCGTGATCCCTGTGGACAACGAACGGAGGAAACCGCGGGAGTTTCCCTAGTAACGCTTCTCGGTCATCAGAGCTGGGCTGGGTCATTGTGATAAGGGTGTTTATCCCAATTCCTGTTGGTCTAGACTAGAGCAGATTCCGATGCAGCTTGGGGTTGGTGTCACAAGAGCAAGGCGGGACCCAGGCCATCCTAGACCCGGATCGAGCGAAATCCGACGAAGAGAAATTCAGGTCAGCTTTCGTGCTAAAATGGGGGACTTTAACGTTAGTGACGCAGAGGTGGCCAATGTGGTTGGAAGTTGGCTTCAGCCTGCAGTTCAGAACAACATGGCCACCTGACTACACGGAGATCTCACTGCAGGCACAAAAGATTTCCATAGTTGAGTATGCTCTATCCCCGGCCGGGATTCGGAGCTAATGGCTTTGCGGGATCAGCGTATGAAAGGTCTAGAGTGATTTGATTTTATGGAGTTTAGCTGTGACCCTCGGGCCTATCTTGCATCGGGCTGCTTACACAACGAAAGGAGTATATGCAGCAGAATTAGTTATTCCTCTCTGCAATAGCACGCTCACTGAGACATATTTTTTCTTGATTAGTGAGTTCGTTATTAGTTTGTCTCAAGTCTCGGCAGTGATAGGCTAGATCGATGCTTACTTGACTGATCCCCATGTGAACGGCCTGACAAATTCATTTTCTCTGAGTGGTCATGCAGACGAACGTTAGTACTGCATTACTTACCAACTTGAGTAAAATAAATAAATAAATCAAGTAGTATGGTTGAAAGCTGGATGGGAAGGGATAGTTCCAACAATCGAAGGAACCACCTGACAAACGGACAAGTGGGGCGGACAGGTGGAGCCGATGGGCTGAATTAGTGGAGATCGAAGCAGACCCCCAGCTGTTTAGATATTGATCTCTTTGAGCAGGCACCTTTGACAATGCCATAGTTGGTATCCCCGTCGTAAGTGGTCAACGGTCAAATCTCCGAGGTAAATGGCAGGATCGCCACTTCCCCGCAGCATCATTGTTAGCCGATAAGCCTATCAATTCAACCCCGCTGTGTAGATAAGACGGACTCTCACAAAAGAGGCCTGTCCGCCCCCATTCATCAAGCCTTCCAGTTTCTCGTAAACTTCAGCTCCTGTTGGTGTAACATCAGCCAATCTGCCCAAAATGTATTTCAAAGTTGAAGAGCCGCCCAAACTGGTACTCACCGGCACCCCAAGAGAGGTAGGTCCTAGCAAAACCCCCTGTGCCTTTCCACCGCTTGAACCTGGTAACTCAAAGTCTCTCGTAATGCCTGCAGATCGGTTTCCATCATGGCTTCCACCTTCGGCCGCAGATCAGCAGCCAAATTACCATCTATGAAGAGATGTTTCAGGTGAACTGTAATCTGTCCTGGGATGCAGTCAGGCGGCAAGCAGACCAATTCGCAGTCACGATTCAACGCGCCACTCCCCACCTCTACCAAGAAATGGAAGGCATTGCAGAGGGTGCAGGGGTGGATGTGCTCGACATTGTGGCCCTGAACTGTCGGAGTGAATTAACTTTTGGCAAGTTCACAGATGGCTGCACCAGCCTTTCATGGAAGAGGAACGAGCACTGTCGTATTCTTGCCCAGAACTGGGACTTTACCACTACGATACGGGAAAACATCGCGCTCATGAGGATTGAACAGCCTGGTAAACCAACCATTCACATGGTCACTGAGGTGAGTCACTTCTCGTGTAAAGTCCGGATGCACGTCGTCACTTTTCCGATTGAATGTCCGTCATTAAATGTGCAGTAGGCTGGCATCGTGGGTAAAATCGGCTTCAACAGTGCCTGTGTTGGGACCTGTCTCAACGCTATCCGAGCCCATCCTTGTGTGCCATCCAAGATACCCATTCACGTTGCTCTGCGGCTCTGTCTGGAAAGTACTTCGGTCGATGAGGCAGTGCAGACGCTAGAGTCCCTCGGAGGTGTGGGATCTAGCCAGCACATCTTGATTGCTGATAGTAAAGGCTCGCTGGGATTGGAGCTGTCTCCTCTGGGTGATGTACATCTTCAGCCGGACGAGTATGGTATGGTAGCACACACAAATCACTTTTTAGAGAATCGATTTGTCTACGAGCCACCATGGTTGACTGGCTCGCCGATACGATTGGCACGGGCCCGGGAACTGACCCGGGAGCTAATTAGGGATGAAGTGCTTGAAGAGGATGCCATTATTGGGCAAGTGCTCAGGGAAAGAGTATTCTCTGATACTTACAACGCCCCCCAGTCAATCTCCTGTCAGGAAGACGTGGCTAGGCCTCCAATCTCACGGTCGTCGACACTCTTTAATATTGTCATGCGTCTGGAACCGGAGACGCTGGGCGCAGAGGTGGTCATTGGACGACCGGGTTCCGGAGAGGAGAGTGACCTACTGAAACTGCCCTTCCAGTGATTGAATGCAATTCCCAATCGGGAAGAGGACTGAATATGGAAGTGACTTTGAGTGATGGTCCTGTATTTGCAAGGCCGCCATAGTTAATGTCTGTCAATACTATGGAATATCCCGATCTCTTGGAAATACCTACGGGACTTGCATTCGCAGAATCGGGAGGATCCCTCCACTGCTCAGTAAAATCAACACCCATTCTCCTCTATATAAGATCACCCTTCTCCCGCTCAGGTTCACCTAGCATTCCAACCATCTATATAAATCTTTGTGTTCTACAATTATCCCAGGCTGCAACCCTAGGTCACAGTTGGTCACATCCTGGACGGGGCCCCTTCGCCGGGGCCCGCGGCTCGACACCGAATCACTGCCCTTGAACATAATATCACTTCTTACTCGCCTGAACCGTGTTATTCTTGTTACACGCAGTGATGATGTCGTCAAGCTAATCACTGGGGCGATTCACCGTGTCTTGCAGTGAACGAAGAGATGATTGCAGCCTTCCTAGAGGTATATAAGTCTCCCAGAATCCAGGGGAAATGTGTTCTTGTTTATATCCCAAATCTTTTCACAGTTTTATACTGTTTATACCGTTCTTCTCTGAAGAGTTACTTCTTGGAATGCTATCTTGATCGCTTTCCTGGTGCTTTTCTGACCTTCTGTAACCGGTTGCCTCTTGAAAGCTCTCTTGATAGCTTTGCTGAATGCTTTCTTGAATGCTCTCGTGATCGCTTTCCTGGGCATTCCTGATTACTCTCCTGGTTGCTTTGCTGAAGGCTCTCTTCAATGCTCCCCTGACTTTTTTCCTGATGCCCTCCTGAACTCTCCTTTGGAGGTTCTCTTGAATGCTTTCTTGACTGCCCTCTCGACTGCTCTCAAGATTCTTTTGTCGATTACTTCGTGGATTGCTCTCTCGATTGCCCTCGGGCTGCCTTCTCGCTTGCTTTCTCGGCTACATTGTCGGCTGCTCGACTTGTCTCTTTAATAGTAGCATTTGCACATACACCCCCAAACCGTTTTCTCTCCGCTGCATCAGAAGATGGACAATATTACTGAGACTGTAAGTCCTCCGTTGGTACATATCCTCTTTCGTCTCTACTTGGTCCTGATCTAGTTCCTCCTTGCCTTAGGAGCGACTGGATCAAGCGTCTGTCCGTCCTGAACTGGGTACGGATACCGAGTCTGTAAGTCCTCCATCGGCACACACCCCCCCCCACCTTCCATGTTTCCCCAGTCCTGATCCATTTCTCCCTTGCCCTAGAAGCGATGGGCTCAAACACTTCTTCAGTCTGAAACGAGCGGCACCACTGAGTTGGTAAGTCCTTCACGTCACATATTCCCCTCTCAACATCCTCCAGTCCTGATCCCAGTTCTTATTTGCCCTAGAAACAATCGGCTCATTCATCTCTTCTCGCGGTCACGACAGATCAGGGCTCGCTCGGACAGGGTGGAAGCAACTCGGGCAATGATAGGTCCAATGATGGCCTGGCTAGTACTACTGCCTATACCAATGAAGAGCGTATCACCAGCTCTCTCACTGAAGGTCTCCTGGCCAGGGCATTGTTCAACTCTAGCGTCGAGGAAGAGTCACCTTCTGGGTCCTCAGCTAGTAGTGACTATGGAGCCGTGGCCAATACTCATCGGGGTATTCCACCCTTCTTCGGCGAGAAGTCTGACTCGGATGTCTCTTCCTATAGTGACTACGACGAGTACGACTCCAACAGTGAGCCAAGAGGCGAGTGGTCCGGCATCTATGACGAAAGTTACGATGCCGACGAAGAGGACTGGTCCCAATCTGGCGAAGGGGATTCTGAGGATTGGGACGACAATGAGCAAGACGAGTCGGAAGTCAACCCCAACCTCAATGAGCGCTTTTTGAGAGTTGTGCGTTCTCCTCCGATGCGGCATCGTCGACCCCTCCCTGGCCAGGGTAAGCGTGGCTGTTAAGTAGTCTGCTCGTACCAGCCTTTGGTTGCACTCCTTGGTCAGTTTGTTGATGTATATACTTTGTTTGCTTTTGATGGCACCATCTCTGCTCTGCTTTGTTGGCGGTTGTTCTCTCTGATTGATCTTTCTTCTTTGTATCACTTGAGACTCTGATTCCCTTCTTCGTCGGCACACCACTTCTCCACCCATCGCATCATGTCATTTGGTGCTGGATGCTTGGCAACTTCATACTCCCTGAATCTTGCAAGATACTCTTTGTAGTATCGAGATGAAATTAGAGAGAGAATTATCACTGCTTCGACCTAAACAGTATGATGTTCCTTCCCGAGAACGTAGCGGTGAGGGGTGGCTCATTTACAAGGGAGTACTATACTTAGGGCCAACCAACTAGTCGATAAACTCCAAGTTACTACTTAGCTAACTAACTAACTGTCTTATCAATCCATGGAAACGCCCCCAGCGTAAGCATTGCAATCCGATCCCTCCTCATTGGCACCGGTCGGGCTCCCCCACTTTTTGACTTGATGAACAATCCGAAACCCCGAATTCGTCATTCTCTCGTCCCCATTTAAGGACCCGCTGCGCATCTCCCGTTGCTGATCTTCTCTTCCTCATATATACTACTGTCTACTATATGCTATCCAAATAGTATCTGGTAGTATCAACACACCATGGCTTCCGCTACGGGCATTCCCCAAGAACATCCCGACACTATTCAAGAGCAGGAAGATGCGCCCCTGCTGCATACCCCGGGAAATGTTCCCCAGGAAAAAAGCGCTGCTATCTATCAAAATCTCTTTACGGGTGAGTTGATTATTCCTCTGAGTGAGATAAATTTGTATCCTTTCCCAGCTAATGGTCATTACTCCATTAGGCACAGCCAGTGCAGCTCAAGTTGGCATCTGGATGGTAAGAAGATCCTTGTTGCTGCTGGAGTTCTTGTATCGTACTGACTGTCTGCTTTCTCAGCTGGCCATCCTCGTCTGGACGGGAATCTTATCTCATCCCTTGATCTTCTTTTCCGCTCATCCCGTAAGTCATCATCACCACACCACTACGATTATCATCAGAAATATCCCAGTAAGTAATTCATTAACTCACTCCTAATTAGCTCCTCAACTCCGCTGCCCTCCTGCTTCAAGTCCAAGCCACTCTCATCCTTCAACCCACCACCACACCTCACCAAAAGCGCCTCGGAACCGTCATCCATTACATCATCCAAACCCTCAGTCTCCTCGGCTTCATCACCGCTTTCATCATTATCGAGATCAACAAGGGCGATCATGCTCGCTTTACCTCCCCGCACGGCATCCTAGGTCTCATTACCTACATCTTCATCATCCTGCAAGTCCTGGTAGGTGTTGTGCAATATTTCGTCCCCGTCCAGGTCCTCGGTAGTGTGGAGAAGGGCAAGAGCATCTACAAGTACCATCGCAAGTCAGGGTATGTGCTGCTGCTCTTGGAACTGGCGACTGTCTCGGCGGCGACTCAGACTACTTACAATCTGAACGTGCTAAGTATTCCGCTGTGGGGAGTACTGGTGGCCTCGGTGTCGGTTGTCTTGGGATTGGGAGCGAGGATCAAGAAGCATAAGTTGGGGTTGTAAGGGGACTGGCTATGGCTCTCTGGGGGTCATGATGTTATGGACCATCATGCCGTGGAATGCTGTGACAGACTGTCCTGGTACTACCGTGGAATAAAACACTCCAAGTAACTAGTATATAGTGGAGACTTAGTATAGTACTCGTAGCGGTCAACAGGAGTAATGGTAGTCTTGATTATGCACATTGAATGAATAGCGCTTCAGCACACTTATAATTGTTTTAGCCACCTCCCTGCTTCCTCTTTGTAACTTCATATCATGCCAATGCGATTGTTCTCTCCTCAAACCAGTGGGCTTGTGGAGCGACCTCCCGATCGGGAAAGGCGGCCGCGCGAGCATCGCGAACATTCAATCTTCAATCCGTTTTCCCTCCATCTTCTCCCTCCATTTACCCCCTCCTCACCAATGGCGCCACCAAGACCCCCCTACGTCTGCATCAATTGCAGGCTGTTTGGCCGTCGTCCATTCTCCTCGTCTACCCGACGAGCAGACCTCATCCGCCCGGCGACGGCCCCAAAACCCACCCCCGACATCAAGCACATCCGCCAAAACCCCGAGCTCTACTCCAAGAACTGCGTCGACCGCAACTATCCCGCGCACGCCGAATACCCTCTCAAGATCCAGCAGCTGACCGACGAAGCGCGACGTCTCGACCAAGACCTCAAGACCCCCCGAGCCCGCATCAAGGAACTAGAGAAAGCCATCGCCAAAGTCGCCAGCGCCGCCAACAACGACACCTCCACCGAACTTTCCTCCCTCCGCGCCGAAGCCACTCGTCTAAAAGATGACTCCAACAACATGACCACCCGGAAAACCACCTGCACCGACGAAATCCACCGACTCGCCCTATCCCTCCCCAACCTCTCCTCCACCCACACCCCCATCGGCGCCGACCCAACCCTAATCAACTACATCAACTTCGACCCCGAATCACCCCCGACATGGGTAACCCACCCGGACCCCAAACGCTCCCACGTCACCATCGGCACCAACCTAGGTCTCCTCGACTTCACCAGCTCCGCCATCACCACCGGCTGGGGCTGGTACTTCCTGACCAACGAGGGCGCCCTCCTCGAACAAGCCCTCGTCCAATACGCCCTCAGCGTCGCCCGCCGCCACGGCTGGAAAGCCGTCTCCCCTCCCTCCCTCGTATACTCCTACATCGCCGAAGCCTGCGGATTCCAGCCGCGCGACCAACACAACGAGCAACAGATTTGGTCCATCGAGCAAAACGAAAAGGACAAGTCCAAGCCCCAACGCTCCCTAGCCGGCACCGCCGAGATCCCTCTCGCGGCCATGCACGCCGGCCGCGACATCCCCGCTACACAATTGCCCCTCCGTCTCGTCGGCCCCAGCCGGTGCTACCGCGCTGAAGCCGGCTCCCGTGGCGTCGACACAAAGGGTCTGTACCGTGTGCATGAATTCACCAAGGTTGAGATGTTCGCTTGGGCGGATAACCTTCCTGACTCTACTGCTACTACTACCAAACCAACTACTACCTCGGATGACCTCTTCGCTGAGCTCCTCTCCATTCAGACGGAGATTCTCACCGCGCTGAACCTCCCCGCCCGCGTCCTCGAAATGCCTACCTCCGACCTCGGCGCGAGCGCCAGTCGTAAGCGCGACATCGAGGTCCTCTTCCCGTCGAGACTGCGTGCCGGGGACCTTGAGTCCGGCTGGGGAGAGGTCACTTCCGCGTCTATCTGTACCGATTACCAGAGTCGTCGGTTGGGGACCCGTGTGCGTGGCGGAGCAGCGAAGGAGTCGCGGTTCCCGCATACTGTGAATGGTACGGCGATGGCGGTACCTCGTGTGTTGGCCGCTATTCTGGAGAATGGGTGGGATGCGGAGAGGGGAGTGGTGGTTGTGCCGGAGGTGTTGAGGGGGTTTATGGGTGGGATGGAGGTTATTGGGGGGCAGTGACCAGCCTGGTGTGTATGTATGTATGTATGATAGGATGTTGAATGAATAGCTGTACTATATCTACTACTACTACTACTAGTCGACGATACTAGATTGGTTAAGGATAACTCAGTAGGTGAATTCGGGATCAAATAGATGGTAAACCCTGTAGTGTATATATCCGGCTACCTATCTATATTGGAAAACTTCATAACTAGCTAGTAGGTAATTGTAATTGTATGACATGGCGTGCGTAATCGTGCATGGAGAAACAAACAGAACCAGAGAAGGGAGAAATAACAGAAAAAGAATCATAACATCGTGGACACATTCAGGTCGTATCGTTAGTGTAGTAATTCAGAACATATGACATGGCGAAAAAAAAAAAAAAAAAAAAAAAAAAAAAAATATAAACGAGACGTGAACGAAAACGTAAAACAACATAGACCAACATGGATATGCATAGACATCAACAAGGGATCATGCAATTGGGGAGAGAGGGGCGTAGATTATAGAAGCATCAAAAAGCATAAACATAAACCATCAAGCATGAAACATAAGGTATCTGATCGAGAATTCGTGACTGAACTTGGTTCCGTAAACTTCCAGGGTATCGTTATTTGGCGTAAATTGCGTAATGAGGGGATATATGTGTTTGTCAATGAATAGACTTATGCTCATCACTCCCACGGGATATCTTCGTCGTCGACTTTGGTGCAGGTCAAGTACGGCAATCCGCCCTCTCCGTATTCGCTCCCTTTCAGATCCAATTCGAGGAAATTGCGCATGAGCGGCTTGACTATCTCGCGGGCCAGCCGCTTGATTTCGTCCATTTTGCGCTCGAATCGTTTCAGGACTTCACGAGTGTATAGCGACTCGGAGGAAGGGGTTGGGTGCACTTTGAGGAATCGTTTCAGGTCCTCGTGTGATAGGTAGGCTTGGCTGCTGGAGGAGCCGATGAGTCGGTAGACTCGTGCGGCGGACCATGGTGGGGCGGTGGTTGTGGTTGTCGTGGTGGTCTTGGAAGTCGAGTCTGTGGGGCGGTGGCTCGTCGATTGCGAACTGCGGATGCCGTGGGTGCTGGTGCTGGCGTGTGCGTTCGCTGAGGAGTTCTTGAGGATCGGAGTCGGCGGGGGCGTCGTGCTGTCGACGAGCCATTGTCGAAAGAGCGAGACGGCCAGCCAGTCTAAGTAGGCGTTGGTGGGACTGACGCGCTCGCCGCGGGAGGTGGTCAGGGTGAGCCGCAGGAGCTTGGAGTCGATGCGCGCCTTCAGGTCTTCGAGGTCCTCGACCTTATCTTCGATGATGTCCAGGACGGAGTTGGGGAGCGGCGAATACGGTCCGTTGCGCAGATGGGGCAGGCCGGCTGGCCATTGTCCCACGACATGGATGAGGGCCTCGGAGAAAATGACGCGGCTGCGCGCCAGGTAGCCCAGTTTCAGGTAGCTCGGGGGATACTTGGCGATCTGCTTGAAGAGACGCGAGCCAAAGCCTAGTAGATGGTGGTCAACGCGAGGTCCGGTCACCGGTAGCGCATCGTACATGTCGGCCAGGTTGAGCAAGGCCCGGCACTCGGCATAGGCGGTTGCGATATTGACACTGTTGAGCAGCGGCGGGTAGTTGTAGAACAGGCGGAACAGATTGTCGTAATCGCGAACGATGGGATTTGTGGGTGGGTGTGCCGTCCCAGATCGATGGGGGAGATTGACCACCGACTGCATCCCGGCCAGGTTGGCCATCGACCGGACGAAACCTGTTTGAGAGCTGGACGGTTTGGTCACGGATGGCGGATATTGTCCCGAATCGCAACCAAATGCGCTGGAAAAGCTGGGAGGCTATAGAGATTCGACGATTAGCATTGCTAATGGGCAAATTCACAAGGCTTCAGATTGACTAACCTTTTGTACCAGAATTGGCTCTTCATCCTCCTCCTTGTTTACCCAGTCCAGTTCATACCTCCAGCGTCTCTTTTCGACCGACCAAGCGGATCCTCCACTCTCTGATTGGGCCAGGGTTGACCCGTTTGATAGCGAAGAGGCATCCTCACTAATTCTCGACAGGACGCCCGTGTCCAGGATTGGCGGCCTCGGCATGGATTGTCGCGACCACTCCTCGCGGGTACTGGCCTCGAAGAAGCCCGAGCATTGCGCCAATATCAATCGGTGCAGAAGATAGCGTCGCTCCTGGTCCCCTGCGCGTACCACAATCTCGACATCGCCCGTGTGCGTGAAAAGAGGAAAGTCGTTTTGCTGTTGATGGGTGAGTCCTCCATGATGGGAACGACTGGAACGATGTCGCCGGCTGGAATGAGAATGGCGCGACACGGAGGAGGCAGCGCTTTGCGGCGGGACGGAGCGATCGAGGACCTGAGCTTGAGACACCATTTCGATGGGAGTGACGGTAGTAGTGGGAAACTTGGTGGACATGATCCGTCAGGAAGAGATGCGCGGTGACCAGACGCCAAAAGAGAGCTGCTGCAGAGAGCGGGCCGTCATTCAAAATCCAAGAACACGCGCCCCGGTCGGGAATTCGTCAACACGGCCAGCGAGGAATGTTTGGACCCGCGACGCCCAGGACAGAGACAGATTTGCGCAGAGGAGTTTGGGAGTGGCGGCGGATTCCCGGTTGTTGATCCCCGCGGGCGATAACAAAGTGGGCCACCGAGAAGAACTAGAGACAGAAAACTAGTAGCAGAAGTTGGAGGGAAAAGACAAGAACGAGAGAGAGAGAGAGAAGGACCAAAAGGACTAGGCTAAGAGAATAATGATCCAAAGAATAGGAGTCGACTGGACCGAATGCAATCAGAATGCAGCCAAGGCGAGGAAGATGCAGACTGAAGCCGACAGACCAGTTACAGCCGATAAATAAACATAGGGTCCAAAACCATGGCTTCGAGATGGATTTCCGTGGGAAAAAAGATGGTCTGTGTGCAGCGAGAGCCCTGGATGACAGCGGTTGATATCTCAAAGAAGAATAAGAGATCCACCAAAGCAAAACCCTCCCCTTGGGCGTGATTCAAAACTGCTTTGACTCGGAGTGCCCTTTGACTCCTGGGAACTCTGTTCTGCGACCGACCGAAAAGGAGAAGCGAAAGGACGTCAAGAAGTTCAATCGGGATTCGTTGAGTCCATTGACGGCCTCGCAGTTTGCGTTGATTCTCTTGATTGGCTTAGACTGGATAGTCGGATCCGTCTGTTCAGCTGCCTTTTGTCGGATGATCCCCGACTGTTTTCCTATTGCGTCCACTTCTTCCTCTTTTCGGACTCCCGAAGAGATAGATACCCATCAAAAGTATAAACACCAGTTCTCTTCTCATCTTCTCATCTTTTAGATAGATTTCAATGTCCATCCCGCTGGCTGCCCCGTATTCAAGGCATCCAAGGCATCCACCTTGTTCTGTCATGCTCTTGTATGACACTAAGCCTCTTCTGGCTAGCGGGTGTGTATAGTATGAGTCAGCAGCACTCCACCAATAGGGATGCTTGATCTCTCTTTTTGGCGGCCTTCGGATTCCTTTGCGGCGCAGTTCCAGATCTTCTTTCAGCCCTCTTCTTCCTCCCCCTCCTCTTCTCGTCATCTATCTCTCTTACTTTATTTCTTTCTTCGGCCTTGAATCGGCTTGCCGTGCTCTTCATTCGACTAGCAGCATTCAGCACCCCCCGAGTGGTGTGCTCTCAATGTGCTGGGTGAAGCTCTCCTCCCCCACAACCCATTCCGTGTCGTGACGAGTCCCAATGATGGCGAGTGTCCTGTGTAGACACTCGTCTCGAGCCGCCTACATCGGATTGCGATTCTCCCACCCACCAGAGCAGTGACCGGTTCGTCTGTTCCACCCACGGTCCGAAGTGATGTCGAAGGGCTGCTATACCTGTCGTCGCCGCCGCATCATCTGCGACAACGGCTTGCCAACATGCCGCAAGTGCCGCGATGCGGGGAAGGAATGTCTGGGGTATCAGAAGCCCCTCGTCTGGGTCAAGGGAGGTGTGGCCAGTCGGGGGAAGATGATGGGTCGCAGCTTTAATGAGGTTATGCGCCCTTCAGATCTTAGGCGCGGTGACTCGAGCCCCTCTTCCTCCAGCAATGCGTCGCCGCCGTCAGCTGCCGATTCGCCTACCCAGTCTATCGACATCAGCTTATGCGTACCCCCCAACGTGTCGGGCATCCAGGGTATCCCAGAACCGATCCAGTCGGAGGATAATGATGATCAGGATACGCAAGTTGTCTTGCAAAGAGCTACCTCCGTCTCCGCACCTTGGGGCCTGGTGGATCCGCTGTTCAAGGACCTGAGTCAGCTGTCACGGTTCTACATTGTGCATTGTATGTTTGCCGCTTTAGCTACCTGTGTGATCCCTGTCTAATCATCCCGAAGTCAACCAGAACCTTGCCAATTACCTCACCCTCTACTCCGAGACCGGCAACCCGTACCGTGACCTCATTCCCCTGGTTGGCGACTCTCCTCTCCTCGCCCACGTCCTCGCTGCCACCGGTGCCTTGCATTATGCCATCCTGGCGAGCGGGGACTTTTCCCTGACGCCATGGTTGTCGGAGGGTTCCCCAGCAGACCGCACCCTCCTGTCTCCCGAAGAGGTAGAAAAGTCCGTGATCGCCTCGATGTCTCGGCGCCCGTCGTCCAAGGTATATGAGCATTTTCTCGGGCTCAAGCAGCGCGCCTTAGGGCAGTTATCGAGCGACATCCAGGATCCTGTCTTGCGCAACGATAACAGGACCCTCGCTGCGATCACAGTCCTCGCTCTGATGGATGCTATTGAATCGGGAGATGGCGCCTGGAAGTTCCACCTCGAAGGGGCCAAAAAGCTTCTCAAAGGCCGCCAAGAACAGGGGGCCTCCAGTCCGCCTCAATACCTCGTCAAATGGCTGGAAGATTTCGCTGTCGACGGTATTCTCCTGTAAGCCATATAACACCCTCCAGATATATGAGACATGCTGACATCCATCGTAGCATCCAGCTCATGGGCTCCACCCTCGCTCGCCCAGGGTCTCTAACCAAACCCTTCTATACCTCCAGCATGGGCCCCGCCATGCTTAAACGCCTCGAAGAAACCTCCTACGTCGGCTGTCCAGCCTATCTCCTCGAAGTCATCCTACTCATCCACGCCGGCCTCTACTTCGACCCGGACGTCGACCCAAACTCACAGCCCTCCATGATCTTCACCTCAGCCTTTCTCTCCCAAGACACCAACCCCCTTCAATCCCCCGGCGCTCTCCTCCAACACATCCAAGCCTTCGACCCCTCCGCCTGGGCTGAGTCCATGCAAAGCTGCTACTACCTCGCAGACCTCTCCATGCGAACCGCCCTAGCCACCGTCTTCAAAGGCGCCGTCTACCTCTACGCCAGCCGCGTTCTCTCCCGCCCGCGTCCCGGCGCCGCAACCATCCCCAACCACTTCGGACTCCCCTCCGACCACGCCGAAGTGGCAGACCTAATCATCCGCAAAATCGCTCTCATCCCTATCGAAGATCCCCACTTCAAATGCCTCATCTGGCCCACTTTCATTGCCGGCGCAGAATGCAGAGATCCCTCCCAGCGTCCCTTTGTACTCAATAAACTGCGCGCTCTGTACTTCAACATCACTAGCGTGAACGTCCGCAACGCAGCTTGGGTTTTGAGCTTGATGTGGCAGAAGCAGGATCAGAAGAAGGCTGAGAAGCAGCAGCAACGGCCTACCACTACCACCACCACCACCGATAATTACCCCCATCACGATGTTAATGATGATGACGATGACTTTGATTGGATTCAGGAACTGGATAATTCCAGGATTGACTGGTTGTTTATATAACTGTTTCTCTGAAATATATTCGCTTCTTCTTCCTCTCCTTTTTTCAGTGGGATGGTGGTGAGATAACCTCTTTCGGGGAGGGGAAGATATCCTATATTTTACTTATTGTATATAGATGATATAATACATAATTGTACAGTGCAACTTCTCTTTCTGGACTTGGTATATTAGACGTTACTTGATAGTCTAATCAGTAGTATGAACAATGGTTCTTCTATAGTAGAATATATTCTCGCACTGCACCAAAGCAGCGTGGAAAAAGAAAAAAGGGAAAGGAAAAGAAAGATAATCGACTACAAGCTGTAATAGGGCTGTTTTTTTCCCTCTGGGTTTACACTTTCATCTTGCTTTGTGTGCTCGAGCTACACCTAACGTAAAATATTAATGATTTTCAGGAATGAACCCTATGTAACAAGACCACGGGACTGTCTGTAGATTGTGCATTGAAGGGAGAAGAAAAGAGAACAAGAAATGAGATGGGCGGTATAATAAATAAAAATTATAAAATGAAGGAGAGGTTTGGTAGACAAGTAGATTGTAGGGAGAGAAGAGAAAAGAATACTACTCAATCAAACACAGAAACATACAGCAAAATGGTAAGAGGTAACCGATCAAGATAACTCCGAAAACGCTCAGTATAGTAGAAAGAACACACACACACACACAAGATCCCTAAGAGTAGTAGCAAGACTGCAAGGTGGTGACAGTAGTGTAGAAGATTGAAGTGGTAAGTCCCCGCGCTTTTTGGAAATGAATAGATGACGATGATAAGAATGTACTGATGGAGTGCGCTGTGTCCCAGACATGGCGATGATGGTTAGTGGAGTGGGTGTAGTTTCAACTGCCAGATCGGTTTATCGCAAATGCGCGGAATATATATATCGGAAGAGAGAAGAAAGAGTAGATTGAGGAGAAGTCGAGAATGGGGAAGAAAATTGAGTGAAAAGGACAAAGTAAATGAAAACAACCAGATGAGGGATATATGCATACTCCTGCCCATCTAAATGCAGCAAGTTCAACAGGGAATAAAAACACGCTCATCATTGCGAAGATGCAAGGCCAAAGCAACAAGCAAGCCACGTCACAAAGGAAAATTTCTTACAATAGATGCAAACGTACAAAGGAAACAAGCAAGTCGCCGGCTGAAGTTCATGACTGAATCCCGGTGATAAGAATAATAGCTTTAAGTATAATAGTCCAAAGCAAGCCCTGCCATTGGCAGGGATGATAGAAAAGTATCACCAATCACACACGCAGGAAACTCTCAGGGATATCAAGCAAAAGACGGAGACGAGATATGTTCCAGGTACAATGAAGAGACTTTGTATGTATGCGACCCTGCGCAATGGTTTATAAGCTGGACTAGGGGAAGAGGAGAGTCCAGGGAAACGGGGGGGGGGGGGGGGGGGGGTAGGAAGAGGACAAGGAATTGAGGTGAGTTGGGCAGTAGAGGTATAAGCGGCGAGCACGAAAGGCTTAGAAGACTGCTGCCAGACCATTCTTGGAGTGACGGCGACTGAATCGCTTCTTGCCTTTGACGGACTCTGTGTCTGTGTTCTGGTGCTTGACCAATGTGGCTCGTCCCGCGGGAGCACTCTCGTTCTGAATCTCAGAGCTGCGGTCAAGAGTATTGGCATGGCTCGACAGTCCGGAGGAGAGATCGCGGAAGGCGTCATCAGAATAAGAGCCGTTGCCCTGCTGAGACAGTGCCATTTCCCGCGCGCGGTCTAGGCTATCGAGCCACTCCTGGGCCGATACGGCGGTGGCGCCCATGTTGCTGGACGAGGGCTTCGGATCCTCAAAGACAAAGTGTTTGTCGCGCTATGTGTCAATGTTAGGAAGCAATATACCAAAATTTTGTGAAGAGAGTTCACATACCGTATCCACCACCCAGCACGAGAATCCCTTGGAATCCGTCGACGTTCGATATGACGTGCCTGGGGTCAGGAGGGAAAGCTCCAGTTTCGCCTTCTTCTCGTCCCCTCCAGATGCAGCCATGATGATGCGCCCAGATGAAGTAACCATCACCAAGCGCTGCCGCTTCTTGGTGGTGCTGCCGCCAAAGAAGCGGGAGAATTTCCGGGGTGCTTCGTACTCGCCCCCATGTTTCGAGACGGGACTGTGGGCTGCTGGGGATGATAGAACTACCAGGTTACCGAGTTTCAAAATCCGCTCGTTGGTTTTGGTCAAGACTGGGGACCACTCGATGTCCAGTTGACTGGGAGGTGGTAGTTCGGTTACCAGTCGGGGCACCACACGCGAACTGACATTAGTGCTCGAGGCAGCCGGGTTAGCGCTGGAGGCATAGCCTTCACCACCACCGCCGCCGTTCAGCTTGATCGGCTCCCGCGGCGGTGGAACATACGCCTTCAGACGAGGCGCCTTGCGCTTCCATAAATCCGGGCCCCATGTAATTCCCTGGAAGAACTCATGGTTCTTGATATGCTCGATGGGCAAACGACGGGCTGGATCCAAAACAAGAAGGCGTTCAACGAGATCGCGGGCGACGGCAGGGAAGCCGGCAGGGAAGTCGTAATCGAGCGCAACGATCTTCTGAAACGTCTGATATTCGTTCCCGGCTTTGAAGGGAGGCCGACCCGCTAAAAGCTGGAAAATGATGCAGCCAAAGGCCCAGAGATCGCTGGCCTTGCAGGCATTCTTATCCGTCAGAAGTTCCGGGCTTACATATTCTGCTGTGCCCACGAACGAGCTGGCTCGTTCGTCCTCCGGGATTTCGGTAGAGTCTAGCGGGGGCATCCCGCTGGAGTTCTGAGGTTTCCGTTGACTCTTGAGGATCTTGGCTGTTCCGAAATCGGTGATTTTGATGTGCATCTGACTGTCGAGGAGAACGTTTTCCGGCTTGAGATCCCGGTGAATCACACCGCGTCTATGCATGTAGTCTATTGCGTCTAGAATCTGAGCACCATAGAACCGTGTACACTCCTCATCGAAGGTGGTCATGCGCTTCAACACGCCCAGCAACTCGCCTCCTTTGCAGAGATCCAGCACAAAATATAACGAGCGCTCATCCTGAAACGTGTAATATAGTCGGACAATGCCCGGGTGTTCGGTAAGCCGGTTGAGGGTGTCCTTCTCGATGTTCACATATTTCACCTTCTTCTCCTTGATGATGTGTCGCTTATCCAGGATCTTGATGGCATATTCCTTCAGAGTTTGCCGGTCGGTTCCCAGGACGACGGTACTGTAAGAGCCCTCGCCCAGTGTGTGAGCAAAAGAAAAGTCCCGGACGCCCTTCTTAATGTAACGCGCAACCGGCTTGCCGTTGGCGTCAATCTCCTGCCTCACGGCGACCGCTGCACCACGATCCTGCCAGTCCTCGCTGCTCGCACCGGGGCCATTCTCCATGGCATACGGAGAGCCTCCCATCTGTGGCGTCGCTCCACCCCGCGCGTGAGCCCTGGAAGTTTGACGCATGATCATGGGACCGTTGGTTGGCGGCAACTGGGCGGTTCGATATGAGCGATCATTGTGGTTATTGTCGCGTACGGGAACACCGGCCTGAAAAGCCGCGGAACCACCGCGAGATTCCGCACGTGCTTGACTTTCGGAGGCGGAGGAGGCCGCGGAATCGGTACGAATACGATAGGAACCCTCCCGAGCAGCTGCCAGTGTTGATGTGGATCCGTTCGCGTAGAAGGCGGACATAGGCCGGGAGGACTGCGGAGCAGGGTGTGATTGTGAGGACGACGCGTAAGGAGTGTATTGAGGACTCGTCTGCTGCGGGAGGTCAGAGTAGGGATTGTAGAGGGAGCTCCGGTTGTCTCGCGGCTTGATTGCGGGCTCGACTGAGGGGGAGATGAGGGTGTCTTGCAGATCTGTCGTGGAGGCAGGAGCAGACGGACGGGGAGGAGTTGTCGATAGAGAACTGGCCGGTCGTTCGGAGACGATGGTAGGTTCGCGCAACAGCTCGGATTCCGTTACATCTGCAGCACTGGCAGCGGGCGTTGTTGCAGCATCTTCGGACGAATGTAAGGAAGAATCATCGGGATTTGCGATGCGGAGCCCCCTAACGATTGGGATAGGCTGAGATCCCCATCCATGATGGAGGTAGCGATGGGTTTGGTGTATCACCAAA